CACCAGTGCCCACCAGTGCCTCATCTGCAGCCTGTCACGCTCCTGATTAGAAATGCAGTGAGATCAGGAAGCAGGCTAAAATTAGTAATCTGCATTTACAAAACCTGGTTTTATTTCCCCTGGGTCATCTAGCTCATTTTTACGTTTTTATTTTTGCCGCTAAAAGAATGTCCACTTTTAGCTGTAATCAATGGGCAATTAGCCGAAGGATTATTAGTTCCTCCTGCTTGTCTCATTTAGGAATTACTGTAATTTCCTGATATTTCAGCAAGTTTTGAACCTGCTTGTGGTGGAAAGAGCTAATTTTGGCATAACATGGGACACTAGGCATGTTGACTGCAGATGACTGCATGCTTTCTCCATGCTCCATAGTAGAACAACCATCCACACAAGTTTGAGAAATAAACAGTGAAGTCTGCTATCATTCAGAATATCCATATTTTTTGTCAGAAATTTCAATTGCAAATCAAGTTGTCATACAAACAGGAAAATTAGAATAGTTTTTAATATGAAAATTTCCATTACAGTTAAACTGAAAAAGGTGAAACCCAATCATAGTTCAATTGTAAGGCTACTTGCGATCATAAGTCTGTATTGTGCTTTATATGGTAAATGTTGCAGCATTTATAAAATCTATATGTTGAATAATTACAAAATAATGCAAAGCAATGAAGAGAGTCTTATTCTCTTTTTAATTATATTTATTCTGTTCTGCAGGTTCTGTAATTAATAGCCCTTGCTTTCTTCTATGCTAATCTTCAATCTATTTTAAGGCAATGAAGTTTAACAACGCTAACTAAATAAAGTAGTTGGACAGCATATGTTAACAAGTGCTGTATTCCCCAACACTTCAGAACAGCTCAGCTTCAAATGACACATATCGCCTATGTAGAGATTAGGCCACTCTTCACCCACGTGATTTAATTCCACCATGCAGCTGTCCAAAATATCTGTCAGTTCCTGGGCAGAGGGAGTGCCAGGTTCAGAGCATTCCTGGGCTGACTGGGTCTGACTGTCTTCAGGCACTGACCCCTTTGGTGGCCGCACACAGATTCAGGCAGGGCAGAGCAGGCTGGATGCCGCCGCTGCAGAATCCGCAGGGGAGTTGTTTTGCTGCAGCGTGCTCTTTGCTGCCGCTTGATGTTCCCAAGCAGGTGGCTGTCTCTAAATACAGCACACGCCTTGACTCCTCCCTGGATCAGCTCAGCATTACCTCCCTGATGGAACAGGGAACAGCCACAAAAAATGAAAAATCTGCATTAAACAAATCTTATGCAAATAACCCACTACTCCCCTCCCCTACATAAGCTATATTGCTGTGCCCGCCAGCACAGAGCTCCCCCCGGTGACGGACATGTCGGTCAACGCAGTGGAGATGCAGTCTCAAATCCCTCATGTGACCCAGTTCTAAAATAACCTCCCAGGAAAGAGGGGACAGCTCATCCTGGAGGGGAGTTCAAACTAAAGACCATGAGTGCAGCTATCCTGGGCCTCATCAAAGGTCCATCGAGCCCACTATCCTGCATCTGACTGTGGCTGTATGTGGATGCCTACACAAAATAAGAACACACAAGCATGAATTACTCCACTTTCTAACACACTCCCAGCTTCCAGTGGGCTGCAGCTCATGAGCTTCCAGATCTGGATGGAGTTTCTAAGTATTTGGTAACCCCAAATGGATTTCCGTTCCATAAAGTCTTCCAGTTACCCCCTGAATGCATACAGGCTTTTACCTCTGCAGCAGCCACTGGGGAGGCGTTACACACCCAAACCCCCTCCTCCTGTTTCAGACCTGGTTTCTACTGACTTCATCTGATGCCCTTAGTTCTTGTACTGGAAAACAAAAGTAAGTGAAGATTCCACTGGAATTTTACATGGCTCTCTTCAGGTGACACTGTGGTTTTGTGATTGCTTTAGGCAGATTTAACTCTGCCACAACTGTAGCTGGGACAGTCCCTTTCACTGGGCTCTCTGCTCGCAAGACACACTTGCAGCCTCCGCTGAGCTGGCACTAGCCCTCATGACCCACTTGGTAAGGTGGCTCAGGAACCGGACATACATGAAAATTGCTCTCAAAAGAACAAAAAATTGGTTTTCAAATCTTCTTCAGAGGAGGCCTAACTCTTCTTTTTGGCACAGTTCTTTCCCACAGGAGAAGCTCATTCCTGAACCGTATGCCCTCTGCTGTGGGCTTTGTCAGATGCATTCTTCAGCTAAACACTAAAAAAAAGTTGAAAAGGGATAAAGGAATTAAGAACAGACTGAGGAAAGACCCTATGATAAGGCAAGCCTGGAGCAGGAAGGCCTGTGTGCCCGTTTGTTTCAGAGGAGGCAGAAGGCAGTCAGCTCCTGGTCAGGCTGGATCTTCAGGATGGAGAGTCCCTGTGGGCTCCTGGGAGGGAACGCAGGCACTTCGGCGTGACCGAGGGGCTCCAGCCAGCTCACAGGTACCCAGCTTCTCTTGAAATAGGACCCTCCCTCAGCTAGGAGTTGACATGCAGTGCCTTAAATCTCCCAGGTTGTGTAGACCCTGTTGACAGATGTGCAATTTTCTGAACAAAGTGCCACTGGAAAGGCAGTATTTTTCTTTTGTTTTGGTTCCTTAGTCTATCTTGCTAAACTAGTATTTAAAACATAAGTTTTTCTGCTGGTAGTGGAAAACAGTGAAGTACTAATGTCATGTCACATCATGACCTCAACTATGGGTAGTGTAAGTGACAGGTGAGTAGGTCTCTTTTCCTCCTAGCACATCACAGGCAATGTTTTCCATTTTAAGAAGTTACAGGATTAATTCTCCTGCTTTTGCTCGTGTTGACTAGAATCTTTTTTCCTGAGCAGACCTGCAGCCAACACTAAACTGTGTACAAGGAAGGGAGCAATACAAGCAGGCAGGAAATACGGACAACACTAATTCCACAAATTAAAAACACTTCTATGATTTTCCAGTGCCCTTGAAAAGAGTTTCTAACTAATTCATTCCCTCCACCGGGTTAAGTAAGTCTTGCTGAACAAGATCATTACTACCATGTCATTGGTGGCATGGATGCCATACTGACTCAGCTTCGCTCTGTACTCTTCTCTTCTCTGCCCCTGGTGAAACAATACTCTCCCAGGATGAGGAGTATCTCTGAGAGCAGGTACTAATTTACAACAGGAACAGCTTTCACAGCTGTAGCTTTGTGGGACAGATGTTCAGGGGCATGCAAAACATTATCCTGATGGGAGGTTCCATTAATCTTGTTTACATGTGTCTAATTTTGCTCAGCCTAAAGACATTAAGATGCATTATTTCACTCACATGAATTTCAGATTTTTCAATGCCATGTCTTCAAAAGGTTTCCAGACTAAAACCTACTGTAATGTGAATGAAATAGAAATTATAATGAAATATTAACTCAGATAAATCCCTATTAACTCTAATGGAGAACTTCAAAGCAAACCCAGCCCCTCCTCCACTACTCTGCTGCTTTGTGAGATATAAAGATTGTCCTAGCACTGTTGGATTTTAAATGTGATTTTCTGTTTGATCTTTTTACACTACAACGTCTTCTCTTTCTGTTGTCAGTGGAGCTCTTTGTCAAGATTTAAGAAAATCTGAACAGACAGTCAAATAGACTTCTGGAAGGATCTTAAATATGCTTATTTTGCAAAGCATTTGTGTACAGTGAAATAGGGAGGGATTTCTACATTCCCATAAGTGTTAGGTAGAATCAGCATTCATGTCATAACCTCTGCAAGAATTAAGGAGGATGGGGGTCTGGGAAGGAGGAGGTTCAACTCACAAGTCACTGTTATTTAAGTCTTCTAATAACCTTGCAAGTCTCTTCCAGCAGAGAGGAAAATGATCAGAACTGATGCTTCAAATGCAAACAAGCAAGCAGAAATGTATTTATCTAATCTGGCAGGGAAGGTTTATAAGGCCAGCTAATCAATAAATCAATCCAGTAGCAAAGGGCAAAAACTGATTTGATTATTGCTTCATGGTTCACTAAAAGGTAACAAGCCAATTTTCAGGCAGAGTGGTAGCATAAATTTCGAATGCTGTTGCTGTATTAAAAATCACATTCGTTTAAGTACTGATTAACCGGTGATAGGAAAAGTGACATTCTCAACATAGCTTAGTACTAATTTGTATCAATTAAGCCTAGCCATTGATGTAAGCTAACAAAGTTCACACGTGATGTTAAACCAGGGATGATTCAAAGCCTCTTACACAGAACTGATTTGGGATAATTCGGAAGGCGAGTGAACTGATGAGTTCAAGCTTACAAAATGCTTTGAAGATCTGACAACTTTTTTTAATGTCCTCAATATACTACACAATATACATTATCTTGCTGAAAACATATTTACACAAGAAAAGGTCTGTGGGTTTGCTGACCCGGAGACTGCAGAGAGAGCTGCACAGAAGTTTATTTTGCTAGTATCGGTCTTCAGGACGTCACAGCTTTCTGTAGCACTGTAATATTTAGCAGACCAGTGAAAGAGGAATGTTTCTGTAGCAGTGCCCACTCTCTTCAAAATTGCCCTTTGCCACATCACCAGGCCAGAAACACAAAAAGCTTTTCTTATGGGAACATGCACATGAGAAGTGTAATCAAAACGAGGAATCTGGTTATGTTACACTCCCAAGTAAAGGTGACTCAGACATCCTGTACAGCTAGATGCAATTATTGAACTTGCCTCCAGCATCAGCATGAACCAGGAACAAACTCGGTCCATCTTAACCCATCTTAACTTCAGTGGGGTGATCTGGTAGTACCATGCTAGGCACAGCAGCTCTGCAGCACACAGTGCTTCCAGTGCTAATGTTGGCCGTGCTGCTCTTGGAGGAACTGAGCTCTCAGAATTAATCCATTTACAGTTCTGTTGACTTTTTTCTTTGATGCATAACTTTCTTCATTTTTTTCAACATGCATTGATCATAGGAAGCTGTATATGCACAATGGCTATGAAGGCTGAAGCTCAGAAACATGAATGTAAATGGGCAAACTCTCCTTTCAGCAGTCCTTCTTTTGCCGTAGCTGAACATCCAGATTTCGCAGGTGTTTCAGAAAGCCACGATTAGGTGAAATCCATCGATGCTCCTTCACTGTTTTGATGGCTTCAACCAATGGGAGGTGGTGATTTATCATGAGATATGCTAAGACTAGGGAAGCTGACCTGCTTACGCCGACTGCACAATGTACCAAAATTTTAGCTGGTTAAAAAAAAATAAAATTATAACCATAGAAAAGAAGCAGTACAGTGGATGAAGTTTAATTAAAGGGAAGGCAAACCTCTTCTGCCTTCTCCAGCTTGGTCAGAGTAACACCACAGACATGATGTATTTCTTACCCTTCTGATAGATCACATGAACTGCTAACAATTAAGTCTAATTTGCAATTGTTACACTCACTTGTATGAGAAGTGCCATGAGATCCCAACCTCATCTCAGAAACACTGGTAAATCAAAGACAACCCTGTTGAAGTAATGAAGTTGTTCTGTTGTAAGCAAGAGGAAAATCAGATCCATTGGTTTCAGAGGGGCTTACTTAGGTGAAGAATAATGCTAAAATTTGGCCTGAAAGTATGGCACTAACACATTAGCCACCAAGAATGACTGGCCTCGTACTATTGCATAATAAGGCAACTTGCTGTGACTGTAATTCTTTTTGAAGGCAGAACTTGTGATACACACTGAGGCGGCTTGATTAATGCCAGTTTACTCATGCTAAGAAATGGTCTTTTATGTAATACAGGTTAATTAGTATTTTATTGCACCAGTGCAAGAAGCTCAGTCTGTAGTGCAACATGCTATAAATCTCCTTGGGTAACGGTAAATCTCCTTGGGGGCATAGCCCTGCAGGTCCTGTTCACACAGGAATCTCATCTGCAATATATGAGCCCCTTCATGCAGTCAGTGGTTGTAGAAATCAGGACTTTTGTCTGTTTATTTATTTGTTCTTACAAATACAGTTGCTATAAGAGGGTCTCAAAAGAGGGTGTCTATTTTAAATGTATGCTTTTCTTCTCCCTGTTCAAACCAGTCTTTCCTTACAGATATTTTACTCTCTACTCTGCCTCCTTTCTTCTGTGCCCAGGTCTCTCTCCTGCACTGTTCATCCCTTTTCTCATGTCAACTGACCTGTTACATGAGGCTGCCAACTCACATAAAAATGTGACCAACAATAATTTCGTACCTCCTGGTGTGTTCAAGGCGTTGTGGATAAACTGTGCCGCAGAGAAAAAGAACTGGCTTATATCAAAGTTTGGGAGGTCATGGGCTGGTACACCATAGTAATCAATGGTTGCTCCGTAAAAGTCCTGGCCTCCGTGGCTGTATGCTGTGCCGTGGGCAGCATTTAAAACATGGGTCACACCCATCTTCCACAAAACAAATCTGTTGTGAGCTGTTACTCTAAGGAAAAGACAAACACAAACAAATCAAGATGGGTGCAGAGATATTAGTGGAGGAGGAGAAGTGCTGCAATTGCATCTCCCGAGCTGTTTGCTGGAGCGTCAGCCCATGCATTGCTTCTAAGGGCTAACCGAGAAGCCAGGACCCGCTTAGTCATAATTTTATCTAGGAAACCATACAGTCTACAGTGTAAATGACAGCAACTGGCAAAACTATGAGCTATCTGAAACCGCACCTAAGAGGCATACTAACAGAGTGTATGGTGGAGGTGTGTCCATAAAGCTGTACTTACAGGTCTCCTAAGAAGAGATTAGGCCATACTTCATCAACGTGGTTGCAGGAGGGCCGCCCAGTGTTCAGGAGCTGCTCAATTTCTTTAAGGGAGGGGACATCCCCTGTCTGTGCCCCAGTGCCTTCAGGCCCCCGGGGGCCCAGTGCCTCCACATCAGACATGCCGAGAGCCAGGGAGAGACCCTGTTCCCACAGCCAGAGGCACCACTGCCAGCCGCTGGGGTGGTCACGGGGTAGGCCGGGAGATGGGCTGGGGCAGGTGCCGGGCAGCAGCTCTAGCCGCTGAGCCACGCTGGTCCCACACCGCAGACTCTCCCCAACTCTCCCCAGGGCTGGCCGCTTGCCTGTGCATTGCCCTGACAGGCACAGCCATTTGAAACGGATGCACCGAACCAGGCTTTACTGGTTCCTTTGGTTCCAGCCTGCTCCCCAGGGCTCCCCAGGGCCTCACTGCTCTGCTGCGCAGCAGCATGCCCATGGCAGCAGCCCCTGCCCGCAGGACACCCTCAGCAGTGTCCTCAATGCAGCAGTGGCCCTCAGTGAGGTCTGGCTGTTCATCACAAGTGCTTAAAAGCTCAATAAAGGAAAAATAGAAACCTGCCCAGTGCAAGAGGAATGGCAGCTATCTCCCAGTTACTTTGAGATGCTTAAAAGTATAGCTGCAAAAAGGTCAGAAATGCACCAGCGGGACATGGTCACTAGGAGGTTAAACACCACGTAGATGATGATGTCTCGCCTATCACCAATGATGTAATTTATTTCTTGAAGCTACTGTTTTTTCACCAAGTAAAATTACCTAAGCCTAACTGTACATTATACATTTAAGCTTTTCTATCGCAGTCACTGATTTCATCAGTGTTAATACAACACACCTGCCATGTATTGTACAATACCTCCCTCTGTTGAGAAGAGAACAAAGAATGTGAGTATAATGGTTGTCAGGTGCAACTTGTAAACCACTGAGTTAGTTTATATAGGAAGGTCTGGTGAGCCCTGTGCTAGAGACTCATTATGTCAAACTGGAATACTAGTGGGTCCTTTCAAGCACAGCAGTGCCTGTGTTTCTGGTCTGCAGGCTGTGGGACTCCTGGCAGGGGGCTGCAAAGCTGTCAGTGATGGAGCTACAGGGCAAAGCACATGGAATGCTGATGCTCCTTATAAGTCTAGCAGCTGACATGCAGAGCACAGTTCCTCTACCAAAGGAGTCCAGAAGAGAAGGTGACCCAAGAGGAGAAGCTTGCTGCTGTTACTAAGCCCTGTAGAAAAAGGGCAATGAATGGAAAGAAACCTTGGTCAGGTCTGAACCACCTTTATTCCATATGCATTGATTTACTATGATGGAGAGAGGATGTGCTTTATTTTATTTTACCAAGAGACATATCATGGAGAGCCATTTGAAACGAGGTAATAAAGTCTGGACTAATTAACTGTGCTTAGGAGTACTGAGGGTGAGAGATCACCCTAATACAAGGTAATAGCTTCCAGCATCAGAGGGCAAAAGTTATATGCAAGAAAAAAAAGTGACTTCATTTTGAGTTTCATATGAAGCAGAAATTAAAATTCAGTGAATTTAGAGAATAAGCTGTTTAAAAGCTTCCTGTATACAAAGAGACTGTTAGCTCCTATTGCCATAAATGTTCTGGTCTAACAGGTGAAATAAGAGAAACTGCAAGCAACAGTGCTGCAGTGAGCATTTAGAGGGGGACGGTGGGACACACAGCGAGGCTCTACTCTGAGTGAGGCAACCAGCTCGCCAGATCCAGCAGAGGACAGAACTGCAAAAATGGTTAAAATTATACTTCAAGCACTATGTATATGTTCTTAATATGTTACCTTGTTCTTCTGTTTTGTTCTTTTTTCCTTTGGTAAACTAGTGCTTTTTAAGCTGATTGATTTGACTGAGCAGGTGAAGTCCTTTAATTTAGTTTACTTTTCCCAGGTTTCTGGGTGGAGGCTTAACCTGAGGCTTTACTAGCAGTTTTTTTTAAATGTAAGCCCAGCCCTTTTGTTGACAATTATGTCCTGTTAGAAAGGTGACACTCATAATTCTGGTCCTTTTCAGCTGTAAAACTTTTATGGGCCTCTACCTCAAATGCATTGACTAAGAGTTAAGAGTTCATCTGCAGCATGAAAGCTTTTGAGCACAAAAACATGAGCTCCAGAAGCATGTTCTCCAAGCCCTGTGTGCCTCCAACACCTGTACAGCATAATTCCATTTCCTTCAAAACTCTGGCCTTCCACACCTAGCATCTTCTAAACATTTAATAGTCTGTAAACATGACTTCAGTCAAATTGTGTTACTGTCTCTTTTTTTTGCCAGGAGCTGTCTTTGAAAGAGATGAGAGGCAGAAATCTGTCGTTCAGACCAGCTTCATTACACATTTACCCACAGGACATAACCTTACTAGAAAGAACAAGATCATCTCCTCCCACTCTGTGTTGTCCCTTGCCTGCTGTTCTGCCATGGCACAGGGCTCAGATGCCTCAGAATATACCTCTCCTTCCATGTATTTACACAGGATTTAGCCATCAGGTCTGTGGGTCAATCCAGAACAGCCAGGCTTTCCTCTCCTGAGATGTACCCTGACGTGAAACTCCCAGGAAGCTGGAGATGCTTGTCAGCAGAAGTGCTGACTTCCCCAAGTGAAGCTGAAGGCTTTGTTCTGTCACCTCCCGGCTTCTGCAGCGCCGCCTTTTGTCCTCGTGTTAACATTCAGGGAAAGGCCGCGACTCTCTGACTCTAAAGAATTGCGTTTTAGTTTTTAGCATTTAAATGCAGGCTATTTATATACAAAATTATGGAAAGCATGAACTTAGCTTTGTTATCATGGAAAGCATGAATGTCCTCAAATTTGGCACGACATTCCTTCCAGGTGTAACCTTTTGTCCAGATGGGTGTGGCTCTCCAAAGCTTTGCTTCTTTCCTGGCCCTTTTAAAGCTGCTAAGGATGGACATAAAAAGCAACAAACTGATACGAGGTCACACTGAATAGAGGCAAAATAGCTTTCTGTGCAGTAGGGACTTCTTGAGATTCCAAGAATTTGGATGTTTTCCTGGCTGTTGGGATGGTGGATGGTTGTAAGTCAAACATCTGTGTCCAATTATGCATGATCATTGTTTCAGTTGAAATTAATGCACAAATAATTTTTGGAACACCCAACAGAAAGCATCTTTTTAATGAGTGCCTTTGTGATTACTTTGTAGGTAGGACTTGGTGCAATAATCTAAAGCAAACATTCCCTGTCTGATAACATATTAGGTGGCAACAGTATAAACTGCCATGGAGTGCTCTAGTAGCATGCAACGCGGCATGACCAGGAAAATGTGCCGTGGTCAAAACCACATTCATGGAGGCTCTTCCACTACAAATACTGCTATCAGTATTAACTGATGCTGTGTCTGTGACACCTTTCCATCTCTCTAGTGAAAAGTGGGCCAAAATCAAACTCTTTTCACATATCCTGAAAGAAGGAAGTTTTTATAGTGAAAATGTTACAGCATGGAAGTTCAGCTAGCTGTGATTCTGTAGATCTAGTCATCTCCAGCTGCAAAAAGTCTACTCATTTCACTCATCAGCGTGTTTTCAGGATTTGATATTTGGGATGGTTAGCTATTGAAGAAGACTTGAACTAACTGAATTATGGTACATTTAGGTCAATACTAAGTGAAACAGTTTTCTAGTGTTCTACAACTTTAACGTATTCTTAATGTATGGAACAATTTTGTCTGATTAGAACATGGAGTTTACCCTTTTTTTTCTTTTTCTTTCCCTCTAATAAGCTTATTTTCTGCCTTGAAAAAGAACTATCTTTCACTAATTTGATTAGTTCTTAGGCAGTCAGTCCCTTTTTCTTCCATTACAGGAGTAAGAAATTTGAAGATAACATAGATGCTTGAAAGTTCACACAGGACTGATCTAAGTATGTTTCAACTCAAGTACAGAGATTACAAAGAAATTATAAAACCTGTAAATTAAAAAAAAAAATATTACCAAAAAACCCCCACTGCAAAGCCCAGAAAAAAAATCATTATTTAGGTCATTTAGCACTTCTAGGGAAAAATCCTCCCCTTGCCATATTGTATTCTTTGCTGGAAGAGACTTTCCATAAGCAATTAATTCTCTGTTCAGCTGGGGCCTTTCTTTCCTGCATATCACATCTCATTTTCCTTTGCTATATATCGTAATTGGAGCTAGTTGGGAAATTTCAGTGTAAATTGCCCTTCTTTTTTTTTTTTTTTTTTATTAGGTGTCAGCCTGAACATTGAATCAATATAACTATGTGAATTGAATAAATTGTTTTCAATCTAAAGATACGCCCAGTGTAATTACACATTTTAAAGACTTTTCTTCTTGGCAATCTGCAGTAGTTTTAAAAATATCTGTAGCATATAATTTGTCATAAATTCTCAGACTGACATGTCAGCATTGGCACAGCCTGTCAAACTTACATCAATGCCTTCATGTCACATGGCATGAACTGACATAACTCAAAGTGATGGAATGAGGTTTGTTGGAAATTTCTGTTAAATAAAGCACAAACTATTTAGATAATTCATCCTTTTAAAGAACATCAAATGTTAGCACAGAGAAGTAGTTTTTCAGCTTTGAAGTGCAGTGGCTAAGCAGCTATTGCATGTCTACTTTTGTCTAAGAGTTACAAGTTTTAAATTATGCTCTTTATCAGTTTCTTGTGCACGCTAATTTGGTCATTTTCAAAATATCTGTTAGGTGATGAAACTAGGCAGAGCAGAAAAATGCCATTAGCAGTGACAACTTCAGACAGAAATGGCCCATAGAGGCTTTCTGCAGTGGTGAGGTGGTCAAATGGCTGCTGCAAACAAGCCCAGCAGCCTCCATAGCCAGGCACAGGGCTATCTCCAATGATGCATGGCCAGCCTCTGTTGTCTTCACTTTTACTGCAGATGCAACTCTTGGCCAGGGGTTGACTGCATGGAAATCTATTGCTGATATAACATACCTTAGGGCCTGTAAACTTCAGATAGTCCTGCATTCATGTGTATATATAACTATGGCTGATTTTCCAGCCTGGACTTCTAAAGTCTGGAGACTGAATTTGGGAAGTCATTTGTAGGTGGACTGCTGGTCTTGCTATAAACAGCACAAAAAAAACAGGGTAAGGAAACTTCTGCTTTCATTTTT